CTGTCTGTTTTATAACAAAATATAAATAACAATAAGTAAAAACACAAAATATCGTATATACAACAAATATAAAAAGAGCAATAGAGAAACATATTATGATTGAATAACTGAATAATCAGCATCGGATATTTGTTGTTGTGGGCTTAATTCATCATTTGTCGTCGAATCTTGCTGAGTGAGTGATGATTCACTTGCAATATGAGTTCGATATTTTTGTAAACATGATTAGAGTTCTGGTTTTAAACGTTGACATTCACGTATTAAATCATCAACTAACGTTAATTTTAAATCAGCTTTCAATGGTAATTCATCTAACGTAGAAAATACCACTAAACCAGAGATGTGCACGGGTATCATTTTCGTACCCGTACCCGACCCGACAACTTTGTACCCGTATCCGACCCGACCTGAGAACTGTGTACCCGTATCCGACCCGTAATCGACTTATACCTAAAAATTTTCTCCTTTTTGTTTTCCAGCTAAAAGCTTGTGTTTTTCGACTAAAGATGTCAAATTATCATTACGTTCTCAGGTAATTCTTTTTTAAACCTTCATGTATGTTAGCTAAATTCCTGTATTTTTTTACTAAAATTTTGTGGGTTTTCCACTAGAACCTTCCGGTTTTCGAGTAAATTAAAAAGAAATAGAACCCGTACCCGTAACTACTCTACCCGCACCCGACCCGTACCTGACACGATACGACAGGACGTATCAGGTACATGAAAATGGACTACTGAAAGTCTCACTTTTGGACGGGATGACGGCGTCCGGACGCCACCGTAATTATAGACGTATTTGGATGTAACATCCGGACCCCCCGTCCCACGAAAGCAATTGCCACAGAAGAAATCCATAGACAGACTCAGACGTCTAGGGCATGGTCGCCATTTTCAATCTAATTATGAGAAGAGCTAATGTCTAATGAGAGAACACCACGTCTAATACTATTTCTACGACAGCAAAAATAGTCTTCGCTCAAACATTAGCTCCTCGAATATGACAGATCATGTCGGATAGAATCTTTGGCATTGAATAAGCAGTATAATAGATTAACTAATCACTATCTTTCTTAAAAACATTGAATATTTCACTCTTTGCAAAAAAGTAAAAACATGACGGCTAAATATTAAGTTGAGGCATACGACAGCTGTGAGAAAAAAGATTCTTGACTGTTATGAATATTACACAGGCAGAACTACTGTGATTATTGTAGGTCCGATGCACCGGTAATTTTCAGTTAAAATATGCATAAGAAAAGAGAGCTCACTATTGGATCAGAATATGCAAATTGTAAAAATTGAAGAGAGTCTATTCTTGCTAATCAGTTTTATTTATAAAAGAATAATAAAAAAGATAACAAATTTAACTGCTGTCTTATTTATCTAAATCGATTCCTTTGAGACGACTAATCTAATTCTAAAAGTGTGTCTGCAATATAATCCAAAGAATTATTTAAATGAGAGTTCAACGTTCCTCTTTTAAATCTAAAACAAAAAAAGACGCCAAGAGCGTCATTTGAAAGTCCAAAAGGAAAGGCGTGAGCAAAAACAGAAGAAGCAGGACCTAGTCCTAAAGACAAAATAAATCAACATTTCCTTACAACAAATTGTTGTTGTTGTGAAACTATTAGACTTTCTCTTTTAGGGAGTAGTAGAAGAACTATTTTGCTTTAGAATAAGATAAATCCAACTTTAAAATATTGGATTTTAGCTGAGTTATAGAGAATTTTCTATATGCCTCAAACATGCAAGTTGAAAATGATCATTTTTAGCGAAATCGATAAAAAGAAAAGCATTCTTCCTCGATCACTTGTGATTATGGAGAATTTTAAATATGGTCAGTTGATAGAGCTTTTCAACAGCTACAAAATCGCCATCTTCTCGTTTTTCGTTTCATAAAATATAAATGACTGAAACTTAAACAGTCGTCTTTTGGATTGGAAAGTAATGAAGATTGAAATTTCACAATATTTCATCATAGTTTCGAAAAATATGGTCGTAAAACCCAAGGTTTCAGGAAAAAAATAATAAAAATACCGCTTCGTACAGTACGAAATCAAAACGATTTAGTAAAATACGAACGAAAAAAAGAAATAATTCTATTTAGTATTTGAAAATACCAGATATGATTTTTATTTTGGAGAAAAAACCCTTTTTGGTACTGTAAAATACCGTCCAACTTTTCGCTATAAAACAGTTGGCAACCTACAAATCCAAACCTTTTTTCAGTTTCCAAAAAAACCCAGGCCGTATTCTAAGAAACCATGTTGGTATCTCAAGATGCCATTTGATATTTCAGAGCGAATCAAATACCTTATAGTATTTTACCATTAACACAAAACTAATTGGGTTCTGTAGGATATCCCTTACGGGTACTTTAGTAAATAATATCAACACTAGTAAATCAAATGGTTTAGCAGCTGCAGCGTAACCTAATTTGGTTTTATATATCTCGACGCAAAACTTTGTTGTGTACACAGTAATAGACTACGGAGAGTCTGTATCTACGATCTTTGATGAACAAGTTTTTGAAATCTCTGAACCAGATTGATATCCACTTTTTACTATTTCAGAGAAAAGACGTCTAGAATCGAAGGAAGACATCGATGTACAAATAATTACTTTTTAACAAATTTACCATCATGCGGCACGTCTTGACTAGTGTCAAGGCTATACGTCCGGACGTACGAGGAAATTTCTGCACCGGTCTGTCAACGGGTAGCACGTCATGCTCGACTTTTGGACACCCCGTCCTGTCTACTCCTCTGGTTCAGCATCCGGTCGTACGTCAAGACTTGTGGTCCTGAAACTTTTAAAAAGAAATTCCAAATGCGGACTAATCTGGACGGGTTACTCGGACACTTCGGACTAGTCCGGACGCCGATCAGCCAGATTTTTTTGCTCACTCGAGGATCTTATATCATCTCAAAAGCTATTAACACAGTGTTTAGAATCGTTAGTACAAAAAATACAAACAGGAGTAGTAGTCAGTTTGAAAAAGTGAATGATGATGGAATAAGAGGTATGTTCAAGTGGAAATGCCACTATGTAAGATACGAATGCTTTAACCCGCTTTTTTGAAAAACGATGTTCTTGTTTGCATGGCATTCACACCAGCTTGGATCATGAGTGTCTGGTTTTCCTTACAGGTTATATACGTGAAAAGAAATATTTTATACACTATGTCGATTTTTCTCCCTTGAATATTAGTTCAAAAAAAGCTATCCTCTTGTGTTTAAGATTGTTTTCCTCATTCATGGAAACCACCATTGATTATCGTTATAACGGATAAACAAAAACTAACGTCTCCGGTTGGAGTACAAAACGAAGTAATCCTTCACATCATTTAATCAGAAAACTTGTAGAATTTACAATAGATTCACTTTATCTCAACGATTGATTGTATTATTTGTGTTATCAAAATGCACTGATTTCTGGCGACATCTGTCTTCCAGCTACAGAAATGTTTGCTTAGTTTTTTTCGCTCCGCATCAGTAATTACTTTTTCAGCCATGTCTTGGAAATATTTTTCTTTCTTGTGTAAAAGAGAATTTTCTACTGTTCTCGCTTTTGATTCGCTTATCCATAGAATATCTGGCAGTCATATCTGCCATTATTTTTTGGGGATTTTGATCAAACAAAAACAAATATTTTGTAAGACCCTAGACTAAAGTCAAGGGAAAAATCAAAGGAACCTGCAGACATACATGAAACTTCATTTGCAAGCTTTCTATTTTCTTGAAAATCAATCATGGAAATTGGATTTGTAATTAAAAACGATCTAAGTTAATAATATCATATCATAAGAAGTATTCATTTTGAATTTGTAATTAGTGTTTTTTTTAAGAATTTCAAGCAGAGTGTGTTTCATAGTTTACTACCATATTTTTTATCTTTTCTGCACTAAAACAGTCCAAATCAAATTTTCAAAAGGGAAATCCATTCTTAAAAACATTGGTAAATTTATATTGAAATATAGGGCCACGCTGATCGTAGATGTCTCATCTATGTAACTACATGCAGTGATTTTAATCATACTTTGTTAGACAAACAAATAAAGAAATCACTATTAGACCGAATCAACATAATAAAAAAAATACTTAATGGAGAGATATATGCGAATGTTATACAACATATAACTAGTGATTATAAATTCAATCTATACGAATCAAATAGCTTATCCAAAACTTGAAGGTAAAAGACAAACAGGAGACTCCTACAACATAACAATGTTCACAATTAATGGTTAATTTTGGCAAAAACAATCATATTCACGATCTAATGTATTTCTTGAAAATTTTTCTTGCCTTAATATTGAATATTTAATTTGAAACTCATTTTTCGTAATAAGTTAACTCAAAGAACGACAAATACACATTATGTGACCGAAAAGCAAGTTTCATAAATCTGATTTGATTCAAAGCATTGAAGTTGCTTTAATCATTCATAATATAACATAAAAAGTTGATGAAAAATGCATCAAATCAGAGAACATAGAGTATCTCAAAAGAAGATTTGTCTTGATAGTATGTTAATAAGCCTGATGATGATAGTCCAATACAATTAAAAAGCTCGCAGATGGAATTGTTTGTATTTTTTTCGAGTATATTAAATATTTTATGTAAACTGTGACAGACACTGTTACCACTTATAATGCCAGCCACAACAGTGTTTGAATCCATGCGTCAATTAACAGTGTATCAAACATTCAGCTGATCGTTTCCAGTCGCTTCAACGACCAATGGACGAAAAAAGTACCCGTTGTTTTTTGATTTCACTTGTTGTTTTTAAAACTAAAATAAAGCTAAACATCGTTTTTTCGTGTGAGAATAAATTAATTTTTCTGATTTTAGTATGAAAAATCACAAAGAGATGAAGTAATTTATATATCTTAAGTCAAAAGAAGTTATAATTACGAAAGTACCATCGTTATTTTTATTTTTGATTGAAAATAACAACTTCTGTCGGAAAATACATTCAAAAAAATAAGTGAGATCAGAGATGGAAGCTTCTAGCAAATCTGAGCAAAGCATCGGTTAGTCTGGTAGTAGGAAAAGGGCGATGAATAAATGTGTTGTATCTGTAATTATCGAGAAGTCGTTAAAAGGAAGACAATAATAATAATTCAATAGTGAGCATGTGCAATAAATGACGAATAATTTACTAGATGCTTCAGTGAGTGAACAAAGTTAGTAAAACGTTTTTGTGCGTCTCGTCACAGTTTTCGGTAAAAAATTTTTAGATCTCTCATTTATCGCGGTAAACTTCAATATCAACGTTGTATTCTTTTTTTATCTCATGTGCACGACAAGTTTGTAGGAAATAATAAATACATATTATTACAATTAAATTAGTTGGATATATATATATATATATATATACATACTGTATTGAGTGGTACAACTTTAGTTTTACAAAAAATGTTGATTTATTACTTTAGCAGAAACATGTTTTACTAATGACAATTTCTTTGCAGATGTACTGATATATTCGGCTATGTTTCGATACTCATTTTTCTACTTGATGCTTCTTCTTGACATCTTTTCATTATCAACGACTGATTCAAATGATTCAAGTACGCTACTATTCAATACTGTTTCAGAACAACATTTAAATTTAAAACGTTAGTCATCCAAAATGGCAGCCTATCCTGCTCTCAAGTGCTAGAAAAAGAAGACTATTTCTCAATGGAATGAGTGAAAAGTCTTCTACACATGTAGTATGATCTGATTTAGGCAGAATACGTTGATTCAGTCTTAGAAATTGGAAAAAAGTGCTCAAAATATCTTCCTTATTGACTAGGCAACAGTATCGCACAACGCGTGATAAAAAGACATCTTTTCTTTTGTTTGTCTGTGTTATTCAGTTCGAAAACACTCAGTTACTTGTTTTGTATATTTAGATGATGTTTGTGATTTGTGGTCGAATGACGGGCGTGAATCCAATCAATTTCAAAGTCTTGTCCATACCGGTGTACGTCCATATGCAGTAAGAAATGCTGGTACATACTCAAAGTAAGCAAAATTAAAGAAACTTTCCTATTATTTCGAATTAGCATTCGTTTGACTTTTTGTTTAGAGTAAAAGTGACAAATTGGAATGATTGTATTAGTCAATGTTGTAAATTTCAAGAATGCAATGTTGCCTACTGGATCCATCATACTTGCTTGCATATTAAATGTTTATCGGACGAGATGTGTAAACCGACTAAAATAGACAGTGATGATAGCGATGATGATATACTCTATTTGCAAGTACGATATATCGGTAAGACTAAGATTTCCGTCATTTGTTCATTCAAGTTAAATTGTGCAAGAACCAATGGAAACGTGTGAAATCCAATGAACTTTAGCACACTTCATGTAATATAGTAGAATGATTAAATAAACCGATTGCTTTTTCATTAGATTCACAACCTACTTCATTGTATTTGGATGATTCTGGTATTAATACATGTAGTGAAACATTGACATGTCCGAAAAATGAACAGTGTGAAAAAGTACAAGTGCGTCCTGATCTCGAAAGAAATCTATGTTTATGCAAGGAGAATTATCGACGCATCAATGGTAAGACATTTTTCTATTCTATAAAAAGTAAAGACTATGTAGTTCAACTCAGTGAACGTATTCATTCATAGTCTTTACTATAACTATCATATTAGTTGTACTGCTGCAACAATATTTGGCTACATCGTTAAATTGTGTAACTGTAATTCATTTTCTTTAGGTGTGTGTCGTCAGTATGTTTCTAATATTCGCTCGTGTCATTTGCATGATGTTGATGCATGCAATGAAAACGAAGAATGCATGAAGTCAAATGTTCGTTCTAAATACGGTTATTGCCGATGTAAATTGGGTTTTATTCGAACAGATAAAGATGTATGCATTCGAGAAGAACAAGAATCAAGAAAACTAATATCAAGGAATAAATCATCGTCAACATCTGCTTTCTCAGTGAGTCCTCAGTTTATTGTGAATGCTGGTGATGATCAAACGTTGATATTACCAACAACGGGGGAAACTGTAATTCGTGGACGCGTATTATTTCAATCCAATAAAAGTGAAATATCTATTCAGGATTTATCAAAAGTAAATGGAAATTTTGTACTGAAATGGTCATTTAAACCATCGTCAAATACTGAAGCTCCAATATTTGATCAAACAAATGAATTACTCAAAATTAAACGTTTTAAAGATAGTGGCGTATATGAATTTGAACTGAAATTATTTGATAAAGAATTCTTAGATCATGTTATAGCAATAGATACAGTGAAGATAATGGTCTTGACTAGTATGTTACACTTTGTTTGTCAATGAAAATACGCGTAAACAAAAAGACTACTTCTAGAAAAATGGATTTTTATGTTAGTTGGAGAATGTTTCCTGAATTTATTATATAAGAGAACGGAAAATTCTCAGTATGAAATATATTGTAGTCCAATCTTTTTATCTTTTCGTATTTTAGCTCTAACAACTACGTTACCATTTTTACTCACTGTCCGGTCACCCGAATTTATTTATTTACCTCAAAGTGTTGTGTATTTATATGCAAATGTATCATCAGATCGAAAAACGAAATACGAATGGAAATATATGGAAGATGGTCCAATAATACCGACAATGGAGGTAAGAAAACAATAGTGATTTGGCTATTATTAATAAAAAGATTTATGTAAATATATTTTAGGGTACTGACACATCTCAGTTAATATTGCATGATCTTCGACCTGGAAATTATACATTTCGCATTCATGTTTATGATGATATTGGCAATGAGCAATCAAAACTTATTCAAATAATTGTAGATGGAGGTAAGATTTATGCTTTTACAGTTTTACAATTAGTTATTAAGGTGTAGAATTAGTTTTCTTCAAGTCTCTACAACTGTGAAGTATCAGTGTTTTCCAGTTGTTCTCGTTATTTAGTACCGGTCTGTGCAAAAAGTATTAAACATAAACAAGTTGTATTTTGGCCATCAAGCGAAACAATACTGGATGGTACACCAAGTATTTTAGAATCATTTACACAATGTAAGTGGACGTTAATTGAATATAATGGGAAATTCGGTGATAGTAGTGAAGATATTCAAATTATTCAACCTCAATCATTGAAAACATCTGTATACAATCTTCATATTGGACAATATAAATTTCAATTAGAACTTATTACAAAAGATAAAAAATATACATCAAAAGATTATGTCAATGTTATTGTCTACGCACAAAATGGTCAACCACCAAAAATTCAAATTCTAACAAAACAACGTGTAAATATTTTAAATAATTTGATTGTCATCGATGCATCAAAAACAGAAGCCGATTATGGCATTGCCAGTTGGAAATGGACAAGAACGGCAGAGAGTCCAGCAACAGGGGTAAGTTGAATTTTGATTTAGTGCTCCATAAAATCAATAACGAATTGAGTACAGATTATTTTTACGCATTACATCGAAATACTTTCCGCATAGCAGATGTGACCTAGTCTTTTGCTTTCTAAAAAATTGTCAATATTTAGAGATTTATTAATAATTCTGATGCATCTCCCATCGCTATCTTAACACAGTTACATGTTGGTCTGTACACATTTGTTCTTCACGTCACTGATGATCGTTCTCAATTATCGTCAAAATCGGTGAATATTACGGTTGAACCACTGGATGAAAATGGCAAGAATTTGTTTCAAATTCGATTTCAAACACAGAACAATGTCTTATTTACCGAACAAATGTTAAATAATTTACTTACAAAACTTGATGCATTTCTAAGTGATTTACAACCACAATTAAACTTAACGGTACTGTCTGTGGATGATGACCAACTGCTGTTAAAAACTAGTGGAACAAATGGAGTGGCTTCAAGACCACAACTCGTTGTTAACCATTTACGTCCAAAAGTAAAATTGATTAATAAATTACTTACAAATATTAAAATTTTGAACATTGACACTTATTTGTGTGTATATGATTGCTCAGGACATGGAAAATGTGATAGAAAAACGAAACAATGTCATTGTGATAAGTATTATATGGAAAACTGGTATAAAAAACAATTTCAATATATACCCAATTGCGGTAGGAGAAACTTGTGAAATGACTTATTTTCTAATGCTAATAAACAAGTATCTACAGACATGGCTTGTATACACTTTTGTCTAATAGTCCAAAAAATACTCTCTCCGTCTTTCTATGTTATCAATGATAATTTTAGAGATTTTTTTTACGATAATTTTATTTGTCTCTTTCTCAAATTTAGATTTTCCAGTACATTATGTGATACTATTTTCAACGTTTGGTATAATATTCTTTTGTGTAATATGCTGGTTACTCTGTTGTTGTTCACGGATATATCGACGAAGATATTTATCAGAAAAACGGAAACGGATTCGATATCAATTATTAGAAGAAGACGATGATCATACAACACGTAAAAACAAAGAAAAATTATACCGAAACAAAAAGGGTAAGAGAGTGCCCCATTTTTAAAATATTTTTAAGATAGGTTAGATAGGATTTAAACTGATACGTTCGTTTCTTGCTTTGAGTTTTAATAATTATACTTTAATAAATGTTTTTCCCATATCTTATTTGACTAGCTTAATGTGTAATCCTAATTGTTTTTTTCGTTTTTTAGGTAATTCCAAATTAAAAAATATAAATACATCGAATTCTGATGAGATGACCGACCAAGATGAAGAAACATTGTATAATAAACCGTTACTAACGTCAAGTTCGAATAGTCCGGCCATTTCAAAAACATTTTTATCGAAAGTCTCATCAAAACTTCCACTATCAATTGCTGTACAAGATAGTAATGGAAGTCCTATGGTTGTCGCTGCAGACAGAAGAAATGAACAAGATCAAGCACAAAGTAACTCGGCTACTGATAACAGTGTAGCATAGATACACTTCTCTCGCGCTCTCTAATGAATCTCTAGTTTTTTATGTAATCAAAAGTTAGTTCTTTTTCACTCTTTATAGAAAAAAGATGTTAAAACTTTTATGACAGTAGATTTAAGTCTTCCTGTGATATTTATTTTAAATACTTACAAAAGAAAGTGATAGACATATATTCTTTATTTTTAGACTTTCATTTTTTATTATTATTTTTGATTGATTATTGTTTTAGACATTATTTTATTTCTTTTTTGCTATTTACATTTACCTTATTGTTATTTCTAGTTAACTACGAACTATTGCTCTTTGGTGCTGCTTAGTATTTGTAATGTGCTCATCTGCGTACGATATCTTTTTCGTTTTTTAGTGATGATCTGCTGTTATTACTGTTTATTCTTAGTTTATTTTATTTTTTGTTGAAAAAGGACTAACGCGATTGAGATCTAATGATGACTGGCTTTACCGCAATAAAATCTATGTTATTCGTGCTATAGTCTCTTTTTTATGCATAGGTTATCCAAACACTAATTAAGAGCCTTAATTTTATGATTATGTGACGGTCCATTTCTAAAAAAATGGAATACGGATTGCTTTTTTGTCCGTCATAAAGTAGTAGATATCTTCAAATTAAACTGACTCCTATTTAAACATCATACTTGTTGGACAAACAATCATGACTTCTCTTTGCTTGCAGTGTTTATTATAATAACGTAAATGTCAATTTTTTACAAAAATGCTGAGGTCAGTTGATATCATATACCTGAAGTTGACAAATTATATATAAAAAAATAGGGTGAATATTTCATTGAAATCGGTATGAAGAACATATTTCTTTTAGATAGTTCGTCATTTTGTTTATTTTTATATTCTACTCAAATTATTTGAATCTCCACTAAAATGTCGTTAATTTGTTCTCGTAAGTATTAGTTCTTTATATATACTTGCCATGTATGGCCTTTACATTACGTGAGCGGTCAGAATAGAGTTCTTTTTAAGAATGTACTATAATGGGTTTTCTCGCTTGTACTCTATTGCTTGAATAAAAGTTTACAACGATAGTTCTCCTAATCGGTGTGTATATGTTTTTTATTGTTTTTAGTATCAAACGAAGTACCTGAACAACCTGTTATATCGTCTGTATCTGGTTGTGTATATGAAAAACGTCTCATTACAAAATATATTCGTGAATCAGGAACAGATCCAATGAACGGACAAACATTGACAGAAGATCAATTGATCGATGTTAAAGGTTTGATTAAAGAGTACTCCTGCTATTACGTATGTCTATATTGATTTTTTTCTCGATCTTTAGTCACACCAATTGGGAAACCGAGACCGCCATCGGCTACATCTATACCAGCTATATTAAAAATGTTACAAGATGAATGGGTTAGTAAAACGTGTTATTAATAGAACACACTCGTCTATTTTTTGAAGGATACTTCTTCTTGTAGGATGCTGTTATGTTACATAGTTTTACTTTACGTCAACAACTTCAAACAGCAAGGCAAGGTTTGTTTCCTTCGTCCTTCTGTGATCAAATAGTCAAATTACTCGATGTAAATAATTTTAGAGCTTTCACATGTGATGTATCAACACGATGCTGCTTGTCGAGTGATAGCACGATTAAACAAAGAAGTAACAGCAGCACGAGAAGCACTTGCCACATTGAAACCACAAGCAGGTGTTAGCGGTCAAAACGCAATTCAACCGGTAAGTAGTTAACCCATATTGTCTTAAATGTCAAAGATTCAGAGAACATTGTGCATTTGTGTTTGCCTGAGACAGAGCGACACAAACATAGATTACAGAAATCTAGATGTTATTTCACCAAATTTCTAGGCTATGTGCTTAAGCCTATGCTTAAATACAAACTTAAACTATGTTTAGGGAACATACATCGCCTTGTATGCAGATACATCGCCTTGAAGCAAATTTAAGTTAGTCTTAAACTTACGAGGGAACCTATCCAACTGTCGGACGCCGTTTGACTCCATATTTTGGCTATGAGTAGGACTCAGTGAGACTAGGAAAAGCCTAAAAGGGTTCGGGCCCATGACTCTTGAAGACCCCGTTTTC